TGATTGAATTAAGCATGGAACTTGTTGCTGTAACTTCCAATGCTTGGAAGGCTTACTGCAGTGTGCCACCATTGCTCATTGCTGTTGAATTTTGCTCATTCATAGTGAAAACCATGAAGTTCTCTTGAGTTTGTGACTTGACTGTTGTTGCAGGCAAGTGCCTTGACCTTTGGTGCCAAGACGGACTTGGCCAAGACTCGATCGAACAAGACTGTCTCCACCGTTTGGCGGTTGAGGTGCCCATTTGTTGGTTTGTTCTTGACTGGCTGTGTGGCCTTGGCAGGCTTCACAATGAAGGCAGTGAGGGCCCTCAATTGGTTCCAGTGAGGCCGTGTGCGGTCTTGAGCGGTGCTATTGTAGCCCAAGAAAATGAAGCTCTCAAGCTTTTTTGAGCCTGGGGAATCCTGGGATGTGTTTTTGGCAACTTTGATGCCTGACTGGGGATCTTCAGAATTGCACTGTTCATTGTAAAGCCTGGTGTGAGTAGGACACAATTGCCCTGTTTCAGTATGTTTGGTAATTGGTGATGCTTATGAAGTTATTTGACGCCGCTTGTGGTGCAATCCGAAGCGTAACATTGCAATCAAGCAATGCCACCTGGCATAAGTCAGATTCAAGCTGAATCTCTGAGACACCAGCCTCTGGGAAAAAGAGGTAACAACTTCAAGCCTTTCTTTCATCTTGCCCTCTGTAGGTAGAGCTGAACTTTTGCGCAGCAGTTGACAAAACTCTGCCTTGCTTTTGCTCAATGTAGGCTTTTGTGATCATAGGCGGTTGGCGCTTAGCATAGTCAATTTCATTAGGAATGGCAGGAACTTCTGGGCTGGGGAATGTCCTGGTGAGCCCTGCCTTCTCCATGGAGGACTATGCCACCATCATCGATGGGAGCGCTCCAGTTAGAGCAAGTCAGCAGACCACACCAACTGGAGGCAGCACGCTTTCCAGAGGAAAAAGCTCTGTCAATTTGATGAGCCGCTGTGATGTTGAGACTTCAGGAAGCTCAGAACACAAAGAACCATCTGGTGAAGAAGAGGCCAAGGAAGAAGAGCCACAGCCAGTGCTCAAAAGGCCTGCTGCAAAAACACGTGGGAGAAAAAGCCAGAAAGAGGAGGATGCTGATCTAACAGTTTTGGGTCGTTGCAAAGGCAACGATGATGATGATGATGCTGAGCAGGGTGCTGACGAAGCACCCAAGCGCCCAAAGCGTTCCAAGAAGGACAAAGAGAGCAAGCGTGGAAAAGTGAAGGAGGCAGAGAAGGAACCACACAAGAAGAAGCGAAGACATGGCAAGCGACACGATGGTGGAGCAAGTGAATCCGCTTCATCAGACGATGGGCTGGAAGAGGCCCTTGATCGCGCAGCCCAAGTGGAGCAAGAAGTGAATATTCAAGCTGAGGTCATTCAGAGTTCCCAAGAGTTTGCTCCTTCGCCTGGAGATCTTGGTCCCCAAGAATCCCAAGAACTGGGGGAAGAACCAGATCTTTCCACAGCCCCAGCTTGCTTGGTGGACATTGGGCTCGTGGATGAGGCCAGGTGCATGTTTCATTCACTTGTGTTGGGCCAGCGGCTTAAAACGTCTCGCCGTTGGCAGGAAGTCGTGTCTACAGAGATCTGGAACGAGATGAAGGCATGGCCTTGTCCATGAAGTTGGTTTACCTTTCTGAGTCCCTTTTGGAAATAGGGAAGAGTGAACGTTGCAGGATGATGGCACTGTCGGTCCTATGTCCCCGGCACTGACCCTTAGCTGCTGTGTCTTCATGTCTTGCAGGCTTTTGCACTTGCCCCAGGCTCATTCACTGGACGCTGTGAGCATGGCCACTACCTTGGACAGGTTTTTTTCTTTTTGCAGTGTTGCGGGAATGACTGTTTCACTTTTGAAGGCTCAGGACTTCAACTTGCAAAATCCTTTTGCTCTCTTGATCCTACCTACATGTTTGTTGGCCCCTCCAGTATAACAAATGCACCCAAAAAGTCCTGCGCATCAAAAAATCTAACCGTTTGGAACTTCTGACTTGTTGTAGTGCCCTGCTGGCCGTGCCTTGTTCCACAACGCTAAGCTGTAGAACATATGGGACATCTATAGATTGGGTAGGCTGCACAAGGTTTCATGGATCACCAGAAACCCTGTTTATTGTCTATGTAGATATCTTTCTCTCTTTCTGTCTTTCTCTCTCTCTCTCACTTTATACGTTTCTCTTTGTTCTCCTTTTCTCAATGCTTTACTGCCATCCCTATGAGGTTTGTATTGCCAATGAACTTTTAGCATAGCGAAGGTTTGCACCATGATCCCTTTACCCTGACAAGGTACTGTGCCCTTGTTTGGTTGCACATGTGGCTTTCCAGCGCCCAACGTCCACTTAAGAATCTTAATGTCCTTTGGAGCCCTGTAAAGCTACTAGCGCTATCATTGGTGGCCTCCCATGCCTTCTCCAACTCATTTCCATGGCCCATATCCAAACTTCAACAACTATAATTAACGCATGTATATACATAGGGGTCCACATACATGCAGGTGTGCAATTGCAGATAGAAACATAAAGATAGATAGACACACAAATAGATAGAATGGATGAACCCATAGAGTGACAACCATGCAGGAAAACAACCAAACAAACATACATACATACATGCATGTACTTATTCATTTGATTGCCTAACTGCTGTAGAAAGGCCAGGTCCAATCCTTTTCCTTACTTACTTGCGTACATACTTACTTATTGATATACTACATACTTACTTAGACTTATATACCTATGTACTTACTTTCTTGCTTGCTTACTTACCTACTTACTTACTTAATTACTTACTTACTGACCGACTTACCTAAGTAAATATACTTACTTACATTTACTCACCTTGACTTCCTTACCTACCTACCTACCTACCTACCTACTCACCTACATACATACATACATACATACATACATACATGCATGCATGCATACATACATACATACATACTTATGTGCAAAGCGATATATATATATTTACAGTATGTGAGAGATATCATGGCTCGCCAGGAGCTGCCTGGCCTCGAAGACGAGGATCCAAAAGCCAACCATGATGGCTCAATCCTGAGGGGCGATCTGTCAGAGAACGCTCTGCAGGTGACTATGGCCACTCAGCCAAGTCCTGTCTCTCCAGCACGTTCACCTCTTGGAGATGGGGGCCCATCCATTGAGGTAAGGAATGACAAAATCTTTTTGGGGGGTGTTGTTCAGCTTGGCAGGATATTGGAAATGGCTTGAGCAACCCTTCCGAAGGCACATGCTTTTGTTCAAGGGGCAGTGTCAGTGAGAAAACACCTTGGAATGACTCCCTGGGCAACTTAAACTGGTGTCTTTTTTGAACCAGGTGTCCTGGAGAAGTTGGCAGTGAAGGACCCAGCAGTTCGATGCTTTGATTCATGTCCCTGGCAGTGTCTAGCAACGAGTCCTTGCAAAAAGTAGGTGCTATTAGGTGCTATAGGAAAGCCAACGCTTTTGATTTCTATCAAACAACTTGGCTTTGACCAGCCCAAGTGGTCTGTAAAGCAACCTGGTGAAACTTGACATAGTCGGGGCTGGTGAAATCCAAGCCTGCGTGTTTCCTAGGAGGGACCTGGCGATGGAATGCCAAAACCTCAGAGAAAACCATCTAAAACTATGTAACACCATCAAAACCACCACCTAGCACCATGTATCATAGAGATACATTATTCCATGCCCTCACAAAGAATGCTTTACTTGAGGTCACTATCTCTGGGTGCACGCCCCAAAGCAAAGGCCGACCACCCCATGCCCACCCAGAGGAAGAGGCACTCTTCAGGCAGTGCACCGTGCAAGACACCAGCCCCGAAAGCTTCAGCCATCAAAACCCCAAGCCCCAAGCCAAAGGCCAAGGCTGTTGCCAAAAAACTTGTTACCCCCAAGCGTGTTTCCAATAAGGGCGGAAGAAAAACTGCAGCCAAATCCAAGGCAGCAAAGCCGACAAAACCTGAACTCAAAATGCAGTACAACAACGTGTACTCAAGGGTGTATCGCCGTGTGATTGCTTCCGGCAAGACGACTGAGGAGGCCAGGGCTCTTGGCTTTTGATTTGGTTGGGTGCACACCTCCAATGTTGCCAGGCTGCGAGGGATGCTAAGAAGGCGGCATCCCCGTATAAGAAGTCCAAGCTTTGAGCCGGCTATCAGCATCAGTTAGATCTGAGCACGCTGGAGCACCAGACCACAAGGGAAAACAGTTTTGCGCTGCAGCCAAAGGGTTTCACATTCTTTCAAGTTTGGCTTATACTTGATGCCTTTGGGTGGTCTTGAGGTATGTGACATAGCATCTTTGAACTCTTGAATACTTCAAGATATTGAGTGCTACTTATTTGTGGGGAAAGTGCTACATGCCATGAGGAACACTTTAGGGTGTTCTCAGTTCTCTCGTCACGGATTCCAGCCCATTGTGAATAAGATCTACCATCAAACTCGTCCACCGATCAAAGGGAGACCCTTCGAACCCTTCGACAGCTCCAACCCTTTCGAATAGGGAATCTGGATCCTCCCATTCGTCAACCACCCGGTGCACCTTTAAGTGCAGTGCACTATGCTTAGACTTCACTCCGGACATGACATGACATGGAAGTATAGAGTGCCCCGGGTTCGCAAGGCGCCGCTCGTCCACGCGTCCACTCCAATCGGCGCCATGGCACGGTTCACCATGCTAGCGAGTCGGGTACCCTCTCGCAGGGCGTCACTGGATCTCTCCCGGAATTCGCGAGACCGGACGGACCGTTCGTACCCTGTACCCTGGACCCTAACAGGTACGACTGGGCCGTCTTGCACCCATCTGAGGTACGAACAGGTTGAAAACTCCAGGTCTAACTCCATTCCAAACGCGCCAATTGATCTTTTTGCCTTCGCAACGCTTCCCAAAGAACGCTCGAAACCTAGGACTATTCGTGGTCCTATATTCATCGTCCATCCGTCGTCCAAATGCAGCCGACTCGAAGTAAAATCGGCGCGGTTCATCCTCAAAGCTTCGTGCATTGGAGGTGCGGTTCTCCTCGATGCTGGCCAAGGCCTCAATCATGGAGGAATTCAGTAGAAAAAAAGACACAACCGCTGTCTCAGGTGGAAACAGGCTGGAAACATGACATATCATGATTTCTTAAATGTCCCTCGAAACCCAAAGGAACAAAACACACAGCTGGAATCCCAGTCCCAACGAGAAACAAATGGATGTTTCACTGTGTTTCCCAGTCCCAGCCAGTTCCAACATAAAGGTTCTCAAGCAAGCCACATTGGAAGTGGAACAACCATTCGTTTCTTGTTGGAATGGGGTTTCCAGGTCTCTGTGCGGCCCTTCCTATCTCATGTGTTTGGGGCTGGGGTGACTGTCGTCACTTCTTAACCAGCCCTTGGAGCTTCAGCTCTCAGGATTTCGTTTGAGGACGCTACTAGGGGCTCCTGGCATCGTGACTAGGAGCAAGGACGCTACTAGGGGCTCCTGGCCTTACTACTTTGAACAAGGACGCTATTAGGAGCTTGACGCTCAAGACCGGCAAAGATCTCAGTTCACCTCCCCTCGCACAATAACTGTTTAACGGCCCGGCCGTGCTTTGAGTCCACCCAGCACAGGATGTGCATGCAATTAGAATTCTCATGAATGATCTCCCAACTCCCGTGAAACTGACAGCACGCCAAAGGTGGCCTGGTCAATGGTGCCATACATGGAGTGTCTGGGTCTGGATTGAACTCTACTGTGCCTGACACCTGCTTTGCGTTGATCTATTTCCATGTATTTCTGTGTTACGATCTCCGGCAGAAAGGACCTCCACTCCACCGACGCCACTTTCTAGGTGGAAAACGGAGTGCAGGACTTCACATCTCCGTCAGGTTGAGTACGCAAACAGGTCCAGTCTGACCCGGTAAAACCCGGTCCTTTATTTAAGTGAAACATGTATGACCAACTTTATGACATGAGGTCCAACTGACCAACATGACGAGTTCTGATGGGTGGTCGAGTTCTGAGGGGTTCTCGAGTCGACCCATCGTTTTCTTATGCATCGAATCGATGCTTTTCATGAATCGAAGCCTAAGGGCCCACAAAGCCACCAAGATCGAATACACCCAGGAAGATTGATTAACATGGAACCCGCAAAACCACATGGCAAATGGCATGTCTTCGGAACATGGTCTAAACCACCACCACGCGTCAAAACGACCAAGAGCCAGGACGACATGTCACAATATCTGCGAGCCAAGTACAAATCCAACCGATGGCCCCCGGCCTGGCCTGGCCCAACTCCGCTTGGCTCTTGATGCCCTGATGTCGGCTTTGTCGCGCCTGCGACATCGCATGGGAAGAAAAGCAGCTTTCTATCAGGAGTCTAGTCGACATTGCTCCATCTTTTAAGGACATCTCAGGGTCGATGTTTCTCAAAGAACAACATCATCCTTCATTGCTTGCAGGAGCTGGAGAGGCTTTTGCTGAGCGTTGATGTTTACCCCAGTAGATTGAAAGCTCGGAGAGCGAGGCGAGGCTGTTGAGATCTTTGGCGGAAGGATGGGATTGCTGATAAGTCCCAAAGACTCCACAGGGCGACATGCTTGGGCTTTTTTGGGGGGTGGAAAAAGTGCATATGTGCATGCTCTTTTTTGGGGGGACCGAGCGTGCAGGACCTTGTTCATTCATACAGGAGCTTGTTCGTACCTCAGAAGGAAGGATATGGTATAACCAGTTTTTGGTTCGGGTCATGTCCATCATGTCCGGACTTTCATAGAGGTCTTCAAGTCGGGTCCCAGGCTCTTCAAGTCGAGTCACGAGTGACTCCCTGTCTTCCCTGACCCGGTCGCCTCCAGCGTCAGGACCTTGACCCTCAGCAGGACCCGGACCCGGCAGCAGATGAGACGAGGACTGATAGGTCAGTGGTCACGACGGCACCGGCAAAAGCACATCTTTCCCTAGGGCTCCAGGTAGCTCCTCAGAAGGTGTTTGGACCCTCCTGGCACCCACCCCAGTCCCACCTTCTTGGAAGGTACGACTGGAGCCCTAGGGTTTGGTAGTAGAGACGGCCTAGGGATTTCATGCATCTGTCGCATATGGACAAGGGATGCCGCGACGCAACGCCGATGGATGGCAGTGGCTGATGTGCAGGGGATGATGTGCCCATTCTGAAATGAACTTGCAGAAAAACAGAACAACAAAGATTCCATTCATTCGATACTGTGGTCAGAAAAAAGAATATGAAACAACTTTTCCAGCACCACCGATTAAGCCCCCGACGGCTCACAGGAACCTATATTTATGTTGGAAGTGGTGGCGCAATCGTCTAGACTCTTCTTTCAAAAGTACCCAGTGCATCCAGTTGTCAGTGGTTCCAAAGACTAAACCCATAGACCGAACGAAACCCTGGTTCCGTGTATATTATATAAATAATTCTAAATATAAAGTGGCAACTGGGATCCACTGGGGTACACTTCTTCTATCACGAGAAACGGCTTCCAACAAAAAACAAGTCTCCAACTTGGATTTGTTGGTTTCGGAACGGGGAAGAAAACAACATATCTTCCCCGGGATTGGGGGTTTACACCTGATCCGCAAAACCCGTCATCATTTATGACAGCATGATTCCTTCCATTTGCCTGAGATGTGTCAGAAACACACAGCCTTCAAAACACATGTGACTTCTGCCAACTCTTCTTTTCATCGCTAAAGAGTTGCATTGTCCAGCGCCTGTGCTTCGCTACAGCTCAGCAAGGCTTGATACTCACGAGGGTTGTAGACGGCCCACTGGTAGCCGCTGTCGCTCTCTTGCCTTTGTTTCAAGAACAATGGGCGCGGCACATTCCAAATCAAACGGAAACACCGTTAGGGCTGGTATGGACGGTATGAAACCTGTAGATCATCCAGTACGGTGGGACGAGGAGTACGCAAGATCGGCACTTACGCACTCCCACTCACCGGCGGATGGTCCAAGGGACTCGCCTTTTGATGGACGTCCGTGCTGGCCAGTGCTGGCGCCATGTTTGTTCATCTATATGTTGTTGTTTTGATATGATGTTTTGTCTTTGAACCATCTTGGTTTAATCAATTTTACATGAGCAGCAACATCAAGAAAGTCCACTTTTCACTATACATTTGAAAACACATCAATATGCTCCCCTCAACAAAATATGTTTGTTTCCAACATATGTGCCCTTTTGAAGATTCTATATAATCACAAAGAAACCAACATGTCATTTGAGGAACACACCATACATTTCCAACCACTGCCAGGTTGCTGTTCTCAACGACTTGGCCACTGGTCGGACAAACAAGGAAACTGTCTCTGCTGGACTGATTTTCAATGGGAACACCCTACTACGAAAAATTCACTTCCTTAGCTTTTAGACTAGATTAATTGATGTGTTTAAAAGGATTAACATGCATGTTGTCTTGTTGGCATAACAGTTGTTTTCAACATCCAAGAGTTCTGTGAGCGAAAGCGCAACAAAAAACACAACATATATGGAACATTATGGTACAACTTGTCTGTTTTTGGAGACCTTTTTTGTGTTGACATGTTGTACGGTAGCTGATCGTCCCGATGTGGCTAAACAAACAAGCAACACATGGACGTGGGCCAAACAAAGGTGCCATGTCCGTGCCTCGCACGTCTTTCCAAGACAGACACCGACAGACAAGACCAGTGAGGCTGCCTCAACAGGGACAGGAAGAGAGAGTGTTCGGCTGGCCAGTGGCCAGCCGCTCTCTGGTTGGCAGGATTCTCTCACTTGTTCATTCAACATGATGAACACTCAGAGGAACAACACACACAGATCAGAACATGACAGAACCAAACAGGTGCTTTCATTCATGTCAATTGATTTGTTACCACGCACAAGGTGAATGAGGCTTCATTGACACTCCATTTGAATTTTCTTTATGATCTCATGCGGCTCCAAGTAGCTCTGGAGACAAGACCATGGATGCGCCATGTGCCAGCTTTGCCTCACTTGGTCAGTTAATGGACAGCATTGAACAAAAAGACATAAGACCTGGAACACACACACATATATTTCAATCTACCTGATGTCCAATACCTTTGGAACAAACTGCTTGCAGCATTACATTTCCTCTGGAAATTGATTTTGGAAGGTGCCCCCAAGCAAAGAACGCCTTTCAATGCGTTGATGTTGGAGATTTACAATTACTGCAAAAACCAAGAAAAAAAACTCCCAGAAGTTTCACAAGCGCCAAAGGGGGTGCTTAATAAATAGATTGTTTAAAAATAAGTAATTAGATCAATTTAACTCCTATCCTGAAAGATCCCCCTTTGGATCCCTTTGAAACTTCTGGTCACCAAGTCAGCTGTTCCACATCCCAGTCGCCGGATCCAAGACGCATTTGCCACCCCCACGTTCCACCCGTTGCGCTCGTGCGCGCTGCACGTTCATGTGCACCGTGGGCAATTGCTCGGCGGCGACGGAGTGGACCACCATGGTGCAGGGCGGCACGGTCAGGGACTCGTTGGGCCCATGGACCTCGGGGCCGCGCGGGGTCCGCTGGTCTACGGCGTCCCACGCAAAAGATACGACGTGATGTAGAAGGTTCGGGATTTAGCAGAGACGGGTTTGGGACGTTGTCTGTTTGATATCCAGACACCAGAAACAACCGGTCCAACTGACCGGCAAATCAGCCAGTCCCGTCGTGTTTGGGCATTGTAGGTGCAAACATAGATAGATAGATATATTAATTAGATAGATAGATAGATAGATAGATAGATAGATAGATAGATAGATAGATAGATAGATCGATCGATATATCGATAGAACGATAGAACGATAGATCGATAGAGGTAGGTAGGTAGACAGGTAGAAAGATACAGTAGATGGCAAAATCCCCAAAGGGTGGTTTAGATGGACCCCATCTAAAGGACATCTTTGGGGAGTGTGCCAAGAGAGTATATACATGCCATGTATTACATGACATGTATACATGTCACATGTATATACATGTCATTTCATTATATTTCATTTATTCGGTCTCTGTGACTCTCCACTCTCAGACCCGCCTCGGTCACGCGGGTACGGTTCAGGGCCGCCTCGCTGGTGATGACCTGCCGTTACGGCGGTGCGGAGGAGGAGTGGGCGGTGAGGAGGTTTACGAATAAGCTAAGACGGAAGCAGCTAGCAAATCACTAGAATCTCAAGTAGCTATGACCTCGGAGGCAAAGAGTTGCGAAGGACAACCTATCTTTCATCCATCATCTCTTTCAGTGTTTTTCCATGTTTTTCCACACCAAAGAACAGAACTGACACGGCCTCCCACCTCTCCCCCATCACGGTAACCCGGTCACCCCACGTGGTTGATGCCACCCCACCTCTGTCTCGTAGTCTGCATAGCTTGTCACCTGCGTAGCTCGAGTGTGCCATCGCCCACCGGGGTCATCGTATAGAGGAGTGGAGGGTCCACAAGGTCCAGGGACTGAAAAAAACATCTTGAGCCAGAAATCTTGAGCCAGAAATCCCTGGAAAATAAAGGTTGAAGTAGGTTATGAACAAGGTTCTATGATCTGTTTCTACCCGTTACTCGCTTACTCGTGGGTTTCACCCCTCCCGACGGTGATCCACATGTTCCGAGGAACCAATCTGTAGATGTCTGGAATCAGTCCCATCAGTCCCTAACACGACTCGGACCTGGGACTGGATACTGTCGCCGTAGACCAGAATCCGCGATGGCATATTAGTGGGTCGTTCTCCCTGATCAGCCAATATGCCCATTGCAGTGTGGAGGAGTGAAACGCCCTTTCCGATGTCTCCGATGGCGGATGCGGATACACCTGCGGATGACTCCTTCGACCGGCAAACACTGGCCGACTACCACTGCAACGCGCGGGTCGCGCGGGTCGCGCTGGCAAAAGGCATTCGAAAAGCACCAAATGGGAATGGCATGGAATATCATGGAATTGCTCGAAATTAACTCAAGAATACTAAAGAGACGACCCATCACAGTCATACCAGAGAGTCATACGAGAGAGTCAAGATCTGCAACACCAGCTAGCGAACCTGAGAGTGAAATGTTCGTTTGTTCACTATTGGGAAGCCAAGATTCCACAACTACATCCCTGCCCCAGAAGTTATCAGGACCTGGCAGGTGGGGGAACAAAAATGCACTTTGTCTCAAGTGTCTACTGCTCACAACAGGCCCCTCCCCAGGTTGTTACGTCTTTTCTCAGAAAGCGGTGTCCAGAAATTCGTCAAAAAGACCCTCACCTGGCCCCCCGAAACACCTGGACCATTCTGGACCATCAGTTCGTATCCCACAAAATAGGACATGTGACATGGCCCGAAACAAAAATTCAAGCACTTGCACCCCATGTTCTGGGTACGAACTGAGAATTTCGAGACTCCAGGTATTTGGGAACGGTACTTGAGGCCGAGGGTAGGTGACGAAAGCTAGCAGGGATGCATCCGTGTCAGTGGAGGCGAAGCATACAGCGCCGTCCAGTGACAAAGGACTGGTGGGACATCAAGCGGAGTGAGGCAAAACTTTTTTCATAGGCATGGGGCTGTTGGAGGGATGGTTCACAAGGTCTCGCTCATGAGGTAAAACGTTGTGAACATGTAAGACACACGAACAGCAATCACACAGCCAACCTTAGCTTGTGAATCTGTTGAATCTGTTGCATCGTATCCCAAAACCTCCACGGAGGAGTTGAACCAAAGTGGATGCCATAAGAGGTGTCCAAGAGGTGTCCCAGAGGCGTCCCAGGGGGGAGTTGACCCCGGGGGGGGGGGCCCTCTACATATGAAGTTTTCATGTGATGCGGCGATCTCAAGGATTCCAGCCCCACACCTGCTAAAGCAAGGACAACTCCAGCTAGCTCGTGTTAG